TATCTTCTTCGTATCTCAGTCAAAGTTAAACCTACACGATTTTCTTCTAATTATCTTCAATGCTGCGCTCCCTTTGGCTTCACGCACGAAGTATTCAAAGATAAGCTTAAGAGACGGCAAAATGTTTAAAAATGTGCAATTTTCCTTTAAAGTATTCGGTATGCTTAGTTTATTTGTGCCCCAACAAGCTGAAACTAAGTCTAAATCTTCTGATATTTTGATTTTTTATAGACTGCAATAGTGCTTTCAACTACAACAAACAAACAGTTATAGTTAAACCTACATGATTTTCTTCTAATTATCTTCAATGATGCGCGTCTCTTGGCTTCACGCGCGAAATATTCAAAGTGAAGCTTCAGGCACGGAAAAATGTTTGAAAATGAGCATTTTTTTTAAGTCTTCAGCAAGCTTTGTTATTTGTGACTCAACGAGCTGAAACTCAGTCTAAATGTTCTGAAATTTTGATTTTTATACGCTGCAATAGTGAATTCTTCGCTCTGTTCAGTTGCTTTCAACGAAACATTAAAACTTGGCAGGTTTTTCATTTTCCAATCGCTTTATACAAATTTTTATCTTCTTCGGATCTCTCTCAGGATTTTCCTATAATTATCTTAAATGCTGCGCTTCCCTTGGCTTCACGCACAAAATATTCAAAGTGAAGCTTCAGGCACGGAAAGAAGTTTCAAAATGTACAATTTTTCTTTAAAGTATTCAGGAAGCTTAGTTTATTTGTGCCCCAACAAACTGAAACTGAGTATAATTATTCTGATATTATGATTTTGTGTAGGTTGCAACAGCAGCGCTGGATCTAAAGGGGGGGGGGGCTACGGGGGCAATGGCCCCGGGCCCCACACTGTCGGGGGCTTCGGTAAGATCTAGTATACAAATATAAAATCACATAAAAAAATAGGAAGTTCAATTGCACTAGCAACCTTTTTTTGACCTATTGATTTGTGTAGGGTTGATTTCCTTTCTGGAAAATGGCTGGATTTACTCGCCCTTTGATAGAGGGCGGCAGGCTTTGCGCCAAACAGATTTTCCAAAAATCATCAAACAATTAAAGAAACGCGCATTTTCAACTAGACCACACTGGACTGGAAGCAGTTTGTCTCCTGTTTGTTGTTGTGTGTAAAAAACAAGTGCAGCTGATTTTGATTGGTTGAACCAACTGGACGCTGAAGGTAACGCTGCCTTGTTGCAAAAAACTTCCAAAACAGGGTGTGTTTAAATAAATCGCAAGTTAATTAGAACACGTTGGGGATGAATTCTAATCTAGTGATATCGATAGGCATCTTTTTGTTTTCACTGAATGTGAATTTTCCAGGAAATGGCAACTGTGATAATATTTGCCAACAAGAAATGGCACGTCGAGATAACGTTCGCACTCATGGAAGATTTTGCGGCTTTTCGCCTCCTCTCGAATATCCATTTGCAGTTTAATTAAAACGGGCGGATTATCAAACGGGAGCATTCCGACATGTGGTGCCAGTTCACTTGCTTAATGGCTTTATTATAATTATGTTTACTTGAGACTAATTGCCACATGGATTGCTCTTTTATTCAACATAATGCATTGCCTGCATTTTGGCAAAAATGGTTCGACTTGGTAAAGTTGTAGTATCATAACTGTAGTTTCATCGAGTTGGCTGGGTTTTGGTACCGGGGGTCATATAAAGCCGTGCCCATAGAATTTCGCCTCTTACATATGCCTCATATAGTTCACGAGAGATCATTAACTCTAATAAATGGACTTAAAAAAAAATCCATCTTCTATCCGTTCAGGGAATTTCATTAAACTCGGTATATATAAATACTAGGATTTTGTTCATGTATGAACCAAATCGCAGCTCAATATCGATCGTGGTTTATTAGTTCTCATTTTTTAAATTTCACACGCGCACTTTTGGCAGTTAATTCGCATATCGATCGACATTCTAAAAAATGCTCTTAACTTGATGTGTCAATGGAACTTATTGAAACTCACCGCACTTAAATACTAGGGTTTCGTTAAGATATGAGCCAATCTACATCCGCATGTCGAGTGTTGTTCAGTTGCCCCGTTTGATCAAACACAAACGCGCACTTTGGACAGTTAATTCGCTTATCGATGGCTTTTTAAAAAAATGTCTAAACTAGATGCCTGAATGAAATTCATTGAAACTCGCCACACCGAAATACTAGAGATTCGTGAATCAATGGGCCAAATCACAACTTCATATCGACAATGGTTGGGTTGTTTTACTTTTTTAAATACAATCGCGCACTTTTGGGAGTTAGTTTGTGTATTGATGGATGCTAAAAAAATTCTATAAACTCAATGCGTAAATGGAATTTATTTAAACTTGCCACACTTAAATGCTAAAGTTTTATTACTATATGAACCTTTATATATATGGTGCTTTAGAAGTTCTGATTTTTGTAAATGCAAACGCGCATTTTTGGCATTTCATTCGCTTATCGATGGACACTTAAAAAATCTTTAAATTCGACAAGTGAATGGAATTTATTGAAACTAACGAAACGTGGATATTAGAGTTTAATTAACATGTCAGACCTAAACGACAGCCCCGTGTCGATTGGGGGTTAAATCTCCTGTTCTTCAAACATAATCGCGCACTTTTGGGAGTTAATTTGCTCATCGATGGACATTTTAAACACCTCTCTGAACTCGATGTGTAAATCGGATTTACTGAAAATCTTTTTTTTTCACTTAAATAACGAGGTTTTATTAACATATGAGCGAAATTCTACCCTCATGCCGCGTGCAGTTTAGTAGTTGTGATTTTTTAAATTAGAAACCCGCACTTTTGGAAGTTCATTCGCTTATCGATAGACATTTGGAAAAATTATCTAAATTCGATAAGTGAGTAGAAGTCACCAAAAATCTATACACGTAAATACTGAAATTTTTTCGAAACACAATGCGTAGACCGAGCTGATCGAAACTCATCAGCAGATTTTCCTCAACAAGCTCGCAAAATATCGGCCCCCTATCTGCTCTTGTTTCAAAATTCCTATTTTCAGTATTTTGTATTCATTTTTTCCGGAATTAAAATTTAAGATAATGAAAGCGCGGTGAAAACAAACCAAAACACTCTGTTCACTTAAAAAGTGCAGTAGCTCAAATGCCGCTCCCGATAATTCCAGAGTATACTAATAATGCCAGGAATTTCCAGGCCCATAATACGGTTAGAACGTTTGCCCAATAATTGGTAACCTTTGAGTCTATGCTATATTCTGTCGAGTTGAAATTATTTCCAGAACGTTAATTTTTCCATCGCATCCAGTGGCGGGTGACGTATATTTACCCACATCTTTCCATTTGTGACTTAAGTAGCTCAACCTTAAGCAAGTGTTAGATTGCCGAAAACCTACTTTCTCTTCAGCTTTGCCACTTTCTAGTTCAGGAGCAGGTTTTCAGTTAATATCCTTGACAGTAAACGCGCTTTTTATATATAAACGAAGAATCCACAATCAGCAGACAACAGTTTACCATGAAGCAGTTGGTGAGTATATCGGCAATATGTCTCTATTCTCGCAGGAATTTGAAAGGTGGTTTTGTAGATTTTCTTTGTTGGCCTGATCAGTGCCGTCCTCAGCGACTTACTGGAAGTGACTCCTCAGCATTGGCATGGCCTTCTAGCTGATCATGTTCTCGGTATCCCTCCAAAGGACACCCCTGAAGTGGCGGCAGCCAAGGTCGCCCTCCAGAACGCTTACTCTGAAGTAAACCCAAAGTCCTTAAAATCGCGGTAGATTTAATCAAGTCTTGCAGGTGTTGGCAGTGGTTCCAGTATTACCCCCTGAAGAGCGCTATATTCCAGGGCCAATCTACCACCAACCCAGTCTACCCCCCCAAGGTCACCCCTTTGTCCAACCGGTCTATTTGCCGCACTTCAACCCCACCGAAGCCCCTACACTAAGGAACCGGATCATTCCTGCTGAGCAGGTGCCCCGAAGTCCCCTTGGAGAGGTGCCGGAAGTTCAGGCTGCTAGGGAGGCTCATTTTCGGGCCTACCATGAAGTAGCTGCCAAGCTTCCCAAGTTGGTTGAAACCACCACTGGACATGGCGAATGGTACCATGTTCCTGCTCCCATTCCAGGGCTGGTTCAGGTCGTCCAGGATACTCCAGAAGTGGCCAGAGCTAAGGCTGAGCATGCCGCTGCTGTTGCCGCCGTCTTAGGATGAAAAATGTGTTGAGCAGAGTGTCAGTTAATAAACGCTTTTGGAAACTGAGTAGTTTGTTTATAGTGTTTTGCTTAGTCAGGGTTGCGAACAGCTATAAAAAGGCCTTAGAATGTTCTGGATTTTTTGGGGTGTTTTTCCTTTAGCCTTGACCGGGATCAGGTTTGAAGCATCCAGGGCGAGTTCGCCCCATAAATCCGCCAGCTGCAATCTATTAAAATACGAGCGGGGCCATTTTTCATTTTTCGCATATTGTTTTGTCGTTGTGACGACAAATAAATAACCTGCACGGGAAATCTTGAGCGAGCCAGGGTTTCTTCGGAGTTTTCCTGGAAACATCTCGGGGTTCTTCGGGCTTGAGTTATGGGTCCGACGTGCACTGTTTGGCCGCACATTGTCGCCCCCACGTATAATATATTTTGTATTTATCCCAGTCCCGGCACTTGTCACCGCCAGCCATCATTCATCGCATCCAGGAAAGGATTTTTCTTCGTTTGGCCCCGGTAAGCTCGCACTCATTGTTCGTTTATTTGGAAGGAAAGCGGCCCAGGAAATTTATATGGTCTAAGAAAAATGGCCGGTTTTCTGCAAGAAACTGCACTATCCACGTTTGGTTAAATGCAATAAACACAGCCACTACAGGGGTCCAGATGGATTCTGGAGTCGTTTTGGTTTCATTTGGAACTTTAATATTTCGACTAGACGTTTTGAAAAATGCTGAAATCGCCTAGAGAGAATTGTTGAGGTCTTAGCTACAAATGCGCAAACTATCGGCCTTTAATCAGCTTTGGTTTGGGAATAATGCAATTTTTTATTGCGAGGGAGCATTTAGGACTGTTTTCCCTTAGTCGGGGAAACCTAAATAAATCTGGATAGTCAACATGTGATATAAATTTTTTGGCACTTTTATACTCCTGGATGGTTAAGCCAAGGGCTAATCAAAATTATATCTCCTCTGAGTTCGATGTTCTGATTTTTTATATCTGAGCGCACACTATTGGGACATGGTTAAGGGAAGGTACAGAATTTTCAAAAAATTTGAACAAGCCGCGAAATGCCTCTAATTTTATTCCATAATAAAGTATAGCCTTTGCTACTAATTAATGTTTTCCACACGTTTATACTAATATGTCCTTAAGATGCGGGTAAAATATAAAATTCGATCTGCACCAGTTTCGAAGGAAAGAGTTTTTATATCTGAGTGCGCATTATTGGTGCTAGATACAGGAAAGAAACTAATTTTACAAATATTCTGAAAACTGAACCCTTCAACCGAATGCCGTCAAATTCGCTATAATTATATACCAAGACTCTTGCTATAAATGTGCTACATATCCTTTATCCCAGGCCTTCATCTGCTTCAGTTAAGGAGTTGTTGATTTTTAAATACTCTGAAGCACAACTTGAGTCGCATTCTGAAGGGTTGGAAAACAAAAAACATCTGGAATATCAATTCGCCACACAATCTAATTGATTTTTTCTAAACATCTATACTGGAATGCCATTATAAAACTCTCAAACTATTAGCTCTAGGGTCAAAGTTCTGATTTTTTAATATCTGAGGGCGCACTATCGCGGCTTCACTAGGAAAGATAAACATTTTTAAAAGTTTCTGAAATCTGAGCTTTTAAAGCGAATTGCATACCATTTATCACCGTTATATAATGAGGTTCTTTCTACAACGGTGCCAAAGATCAAGTTCTTATCTATGGCCGTTTAGGAGTTGCAATTTTTTAAATACTATGAAGCGCAAATTGGGCCGACTACTGTACGTCTGGAAAACTAAAACAAAAATTTGGAATGTAATTGCGCCAGGCGATCCAAGTGATTTTTCCTATATTTTTATATTAGTGTGCCCTTACGACAAGCGTAAAAACCTCAGACTTCTACCGGGTCTGGTTTTGAAGTTCCAATTTTTTTGTTTTTCAGTACGCACGATTGGAACTCTTAAGGACACATTTTTAAAACATTCTGAAAGCTGAATTATCATTCCCAATTTTTTACCATTTACTACCATTGTATACTTAGGCATTTGCTACCAATCGACCAAAAATCAGACCTGCAACTTTTTCCGTCTAAAAGTTGTGAATTTTTAAATACAATGAAGCACAATTAGGGCCGAATTCCGTATGGTACTAAAACCAAAGAACTTATGGAACGTTCATCCTCTAAGTGATTCAATTAGTTTTTTTCCGCACTGTTAGACCAGTGTGTGCTCAAAAAATGGCAAGATGTGGACTCTCTGCTCAGGTTTGGGAGTTCTGAATTTTTAAATCCGAGCCCGAACTATCGGAACTTAATTAAAAAAAAAAAACACAACATTTTCAACAAAATTTGAAAAAATAACGAATTGACTCTTCAAACTACCCACGATTATATTTTAAACGCTCGCTTAATTCACGATTAAAACAATCGGAAAGTCCCTGCACAAACTTTATACTGACGGTTCATACCGATTCCATCATACTAGGACGTGATTGAAACCTCCATTCAAACACTCACAACAAAAATAACCGTTTCTCTTCAGCCAGGGGACAAAGTGCAACATTTCCGGGAAAAAAACATATATCTGGATATGTAACGTGTCCCTAAGGCCGCTTTTTCATATCTCCATCCCGCATAGGGAGGCTCTCTTAATACGAAATCCAAACAATCAGGCAGACGTTTTTCGAGTTCTTAAACTTGAAGGATATACATAATGCGCCCGTACGGAAAGAATCCGCTTTGAGGGCACGTTTGAGTCGCAGAAAGTTTTTGCAAGAGAAATCCGGGATCCGGAAAAGGAAGTATTTGGGGACGGTCGTTTAATGAAGGGTTTCCCATGAAAACGGTGTAAGGTTTGTTTGTTTAATCAGTGCTCTAACAAATAACTGCGATCTTTATGAAAGACGCTGGTAGCGGGCAGCAGCCTCAAAAGCCTCCTGAATAGCCTTCATGTGCGCCAATCGGGCGGCATGCACTTCCGGAACCTCACCAATTTCACTTCTGGGTATATCCTCAGCCAAACCGTAAGGAACTTCTTTCATGACTGTAAGTAGACGAGTTTCGGGCTGTTCATGCGCTCTAATTGGAGCTTGTGGAATCTGTAAGACATTCAACCAATTCGCAAGTCCATTAGCCATTCCCTTGAAAACATTTACCTCGTTTTCCTCCGGTTGATCCACAAAAACAGCAAAGTTTTCTTCACCAGAATCTTCCTGGGAGGGTAATTGAGGCAGTACAGCTAGTACCTCTTCGTAGGCCCTCAAGTGTTGAGTTTTGGCAACCGCGACTTCTGGAGTGTCGGACGGGTGGACACCCAGCTGATGATCGGCGATTGCTCCGGTCCAGGGCTTCCATGATTCTTCAGCGACCAATGGAAGAGCTAGAGCAGTTGCAAGCACAAAAAAAAGCTAAAGAAAAGCACAGTTTTCACATTCCCCTGGTCAAAACTACTCACTGCAATTACAGAAAGCTTCATGGTGACTGATGATGGACTGCGCTTTACTGGGTGAAAGTTGCAAGCTTTTATTTCGACTGTCTGAATGCCTGAATGTTGAGAATGTTAATGGCATCATTAGGGCTTAATAGTTATTGGCAGTCATTAGTTTGCAAGAATCAAGGGCATTTTGTGCCATTTTGCAGGTACATTTAAAGCACTAAATTTGTGGGAAATAGAGAACAGAAAACAAGCGAACTTTTTAAAATTGTTATTGTTAAATAGGAAGACAGAAGGAAGAAGGAAATTCTGAACAGGCAGATGCTGCAAATCTTCAGTTGAGTTGATGCTAATGCTGTTTTAGGGAGCTTATCCAACGTGAGTCTGAGTCTCATGAACAGTGTCGCATTAAAAAAAAATTAACTTCTGCACCTGGTGAACTGGAGGTTTAAAATTTTGAGGATTTGAAGAAAATACTTGAATGTGCAATTGATCAAAGTTTAACTTGAAGCCAAGTAGAAGTTAAGAAGCAAAAGGAAAGTTAACTAGCTCGCAGCTATGGAATCTGCTCACAAACACAGTCGGATGGAAAAATCACGAAATGCAAACCTATTTAACAACAGCTTTGACATTTATTGGCTTTGAGGCAGACCCTCAAATAATCAATGTGTAACTGCACAAAATTTATCTTAAAGCTAAGCTGAAGTTGATTTCTGAAATTTTTTGAAATGTAGCTTTTACCTCCGCAATCACAAACACGGCTATATAAAAATCACAGAATCTAAACCTGTCGAATTAAAGCCTTGAGAGTTTCAGGCGCTGAAGAAGACACTTTGGTATGCAACCAAGGACCCGGACGGAAACGAAATAACTGTTCCGTTCCKGTTGCGGTCCAAGGCAAAATTTGAAATTTCGGTTCCGTTACGGTTCCGGTTTAAAAAATAATTTCCAATCCGGTTCCGTTCCGGTTCCGGTTCCGGTATTTTTCGGTTCATTTCGGTTAAAAAATCTATATATAACACGAACGAGGACAAAGACACTCTAATTAGGAATCTCACTATCTTTCTCCTTGTTTGTTGTATTATACAAGATAAAAGATGCGCAAACGATCCACTGCTTCATACGGTACTTCGGCTGGTTGTATGACAGGGGGTAGGAGTGTAGGAGGACTAGCAACCCCACAGAAGGATTGAAATTCAGGTAACATTAAACGGAACAACATTGCAATAAAGACTCCCATACAAAAACTAATTTAATCGTTGTATTTTTGAAAAGTAATTTGTCAATGAATTTTCTGACTAGCGCTTTTCTCTTCTTTCCGTTTTCACTCAGGTCCACAACTTCGTCAATTCGTCTTCTTTCACTCTTATCTCCGTTTAAACATTGTTCTTCCTGGTTCATGTCTTCACCATCTTTCGAGGAGTTGCTTTTGTCCAACATTTCAATTCAAATGTTGCTTTGTTGGTCATCGAAATACTAAAATAATTAAACTTAAAAAATAATTTTAAAAATAGTGTATAAACGTACGGTGTTTGTTCTTTTCGATTGAAAAGTCGGTTGGTCCTCACAAATAATTGTTCGTCTAAAATTTTTTAACTAACTAAAAGAAGTACCGACCCTTCGTCGGTACATTAATAATACACCGCCGCCCACTAGAACACAGAAACGTAATTTTATATTTATTTGCAGGAGGATTTTTATTTGGTTGTAAAATGTACAGTAATTTCTTTCAAACGTTACAAGCAGAACCGAAAAAACCGAAATAAAATATTTCGGTTCCGGTTCAGCACCTAACAGTGCGTTAATATCAAATATGGGTTTCGTTACGGTTCCGGTCCAAAAAAAAACGGTTCCGTTCCGGTTTTGGGTCAATATCGGTTCCGGTCCGGGGCCCTGTATGCCACTGCTTAAAATTTACGTTAAAACCAAGCTGAAGTGAATGAATTTTTGAGCGGTTTACAAAAGTAGCATTTAGCTGCTCAATCTGCCCATAAACACCGTCGCATGAGAAAAATCGAAGAATCTAAACAGCTTGAACTTGAGCTCTGAAATTTGTACGCTGTAAAGAAGAAACTTTCGTGAGTACGTGGTCCAAATTTCACTTAAAGCTAAGCTGAAATGGATATAAAAAGTTAGTACTCTCAAACACAGTTGCATTTAAAAAATCCCAGAACATAAACCTATCCAACTACAGCTTGATAATTTTCACAATTTGAAGAAGACATTTGATTGTTCAACTGCTTAAAATTTAAATTAAAACCACGCTAACGCAAAGTTGATATTTGAGAGTTTTTCAGACGTAGCTTTCAGCTGCGTAATTTGCTCATAAACGTCGTTGCATAAGGAAAAAATTGTTGAATCTGAACTGACTCAAATAGAACTTCGTGATTTTGACCAATAGCCGAAGATACCCTATTGTGCAATTTCTGAAAATTTCATTTGGTATCAAGGGCGGGGTTGATTTCTGAGAAAAATTCAAAATGAACTCTGAATAACACCAATAGCCCGCAAACACCATCTAAATAAAAAATGCGACAAGTATTGCGGAACACGCACAGCCTTGACATGTTGAGGCCCTAAAGGCAACTCCCGAGCGGACAATTTCGGAAAAACTCACAAAAACTTTTAAAGCGGCTAATTTTTGAGGAATTTTTAATCGTAGGCTTGTGCTACGCAAAGTGCTCGCAAAAACCGCCGCGTTAAGAGACTCACCCCTTCTAAACCGATATATAAAATAAAGATCATCATTGAAATTGAAATCGGTTAAATTACAGTCGGATTTAAAAAAATCATCACATCTAAACACACACAACGAGGGCTTTGAAATTTTGAGCGCTTAAAACCGATATCTGAGTCCA